TTTCTCTTTATCCAAGAAGACCTTTCGTCCAAGTCTCCTAAATTTAAAAAGAAATCCTGTTGAACTATTTTGTTCCAAATATCTAGATTTTCTCCTCCTGCCCTCCCAATTCCCAAAGAAGGCTGGGAGGAGGGAGGGAAAAAAAGAGAAAGTTATTTCTCTCAGCAACAGCTAAGTAGACACCACCACTCCCTGGTTTGTACCAGAAGTCTCCTTGCAAAACATAACTATTTTTAAAGTAAAATGATATGTCTAAAGTTATCAGTATGGTCTTGCCCAGTTAAGAATGTCCAACAGCTTCATGGAAATGGATTTCAGGCTTTATACGAGGTGATTCCTATCCCTGGATAATATATTAAGTTTGTCCTAAAAGAGTAGCCTAGAAGTCCTTGTCAAGCAGAAAGTGAATGCTTTATCTCATCTCTTCACTGACACTAAAGCACTTTCCTCAACTGCCAGGACTCAATTTATTAAGGGATGTCTACAAATCCCACTTCCTGCTCTCCTTTCTTCCTCTCCTAAAAGTAATAATGTTATTACCCATGACAATATCACCTAGTAAGATCTTCAGGAAATCTTGTCCTAAGACTAATCCTAATCTGGAAGTAGGTCTGCTTGCTGAGAAGCAAAAGTCCAAACATTTCAGGCTTGGGGAGTCTGAGCTGGAGATGAAAGAGGTCTTGAATTGTCTTTTTTCTGTACTGGCCAAATCCTAGCTTCCCTCATGGATGAGGACCCAAAGCCCAGCCATGGAATGAGCAACGACAGACTTGGGCAGGGCAGTGACTAATGAGTGTGTCTATTCCTTTGGACCAGAAAGATATCATTCACAAAACAGTTGGCTCTGAAAAGCACCTGTTCAAAAAGGTCCATAAGCATCAGGACCCAAAAAGATGTCTCCTGCTTCCCTCTTCTGCACCTCAAGGTTCTATCTAAATCTCAGCTGCTGACAAATTGCCGGCTCATGTTTGCAGAAATATAAACAGATCCTGGCTGGAGCTGAAACAGAGATGGATGAAAAGCACTTCAAAGCTGACTGGCCCCTGGGCAGACTGTTCAAACTTACTACATGTGCAGTCCCAGCACACGTGAGGTTTTCAATAAAGATGGCAACTGAGATTTATAAAAAATGCTGTAAATGGCCTTCTCAATGGGGCAGGGGATGGAAGGTAGAGAGAGAATTTGGAACTCAAAAATTTTAACAATGAATTTTAACAATTAAAAAAATAGTACATGTAATTGGGAAATACTTAACAAAATAAATAAAAATCTATTTTTAAAAAATAAATGCTGCCAGTGGTATTGTGAAGCTAGGATGTACTTTTTTCTTTCTCTCTCTTTTTGAGGAAGATTTGAAAGAGAAAAGTGATGATGAAAAAGTGAGGGGAGGGGCAAATACCCTTCCCAAACACCAGCTTATATCCTGATCTCAGAATTGTCAGTGATCTCTGGTGATCCCATTGGCCTTTTGGCCCCATTAGAAAATGTCACAAGTATTTAAATGAAAATCCAAGACATGACTGCCAAAGAATCAATTATTCAGCACTGGACACATGCCAGCAAACTTAGCATCACTGAAGACTGCTTTGGGTCCGGGAGGACTGCTGATTCTGGAGAGAGTTAATTATCACCTCATTGAAACAGGGGTAATTTTTTAAGTATGCAGTTTGGCTTCTGTGACTCATTAATTAAAATTTAGAGTAATTTTCTGGGCTACCAGTGACTTCTGTATAAGATTCCATGTACCAGCAAGATGTATTCTCTGTACCATTTATTATTGGGGGAAGTTTTTATTTCTCTGTCTTCTGTCCTCACTTTCTTCACTGAAGACAACAAAAATATTCATACCTCAAGTTATCCCTCAATGAATCCACAGGTTTTTAATCTAGATTCTATAGAAAAGTATTAAACAAGGATCCCACTTCTGCATTTTACACTTGCCACCAACAGAAATATTCTGTGCTCTTTTCACAACTCTTATGTCACTTTCACAGTTTCATTCCAGAAAGCCTAAACCTAATGATAGTTCATAATTAAATTAACACACACACACACACACACACACACACATACACACGCTACCCCAAAGTCCAAAAACAATAAAAAAGAAACATGACCCAGAGCTAAACTAGAAGTGATTAACCTTCCACAGACCTAAAAGCCACTGTTTGAAATGGAGTTAGTGCCCATAGACATTTTGTGTGTGCATTAATGTGCAAACCATAAACACAGCATGGACCTAGGAAGTAAAGGAGATGGTATCAAAGCCCAAGGGAGTAGAGAAAAAAACCTTTGGCTGAAACCTCCTTCTCAGAAAGGTATCTCAGTGGCTGAGTCTCTTGGAAGAAGTTCTAACCCCCAAGTTAGTGGGACACATCAAAATTGAATTTTCTAGTATATATCTTGAGGGTCATAGGGGCTTATAAGTGTACACATGGACCTGGGGGAGGGGGATGCACAGTACTGTAAAATTTGAAAAAGATTTCCAAAGAACACCTGTATTTAGCTGCCCAGATTAAATATGGGCACAGTGGACTAGCTCTTCTCCTCTTCCAAAAGGAAAAACTTTCAGTTATCCATGCTTTTCCTGAAGTTATTCTTGAAAAGAAGGGGGGGGGGTGTATGTGTATACATGTGTGTGCATGTGCATGTGTGTGTGTGTGTGTGTGCATGTGCGTGCACGTGTGCACATAGGTTGGGGGAAGTGGTGCATGAGAGAATCAGGTACTTTAAATCCAATACTTGCATCTGAAAAACAGACTGTTGAGGTAAGACTTAACCAAGAAATGCCATTACAAAAATAGTTCTCAGATCAACTCACACCCTAACATCTAAGGCCATTTTTAGAAAGTGAAAAATACATAGATCTTTTATTATTGCCTGATGGGTTTCTGTCTCAGTCCTAGAGAAGGCTGGGACCCAGAAGTGAAACTGACTCTTGTGTTTTCATCCTCTTCATTCCCACCAAACTCAAAGTCAATTAAATGGTAAAAAATTAATGCTGACCTCTTTTGTCAAGAGGTGTCTGGGCATTTCTTTCTTTCTGTGCCTTTCTTTCTTTCTTTCATCCAGCAGAGAGAACACTGTCACATACCAACCATTTATGAACTTTGTGTGTGTGTGTGTGTGTGTGTGTGTCTGTGTGTGTCTGTGTGTGTCTGTGTAAACTTCCTAAGCCAATCAGACCAGCTCAGAATGAAGCTCTGACACATAATCTTCGGAAAGCTTCCCACCTTTCAACACTCACAGGCATTCCATGATTCCAAATTTTTTTTGGGGGGGGGGCGTAGAAATGAGTCCACATCTTTATTCTTAAAAATATGTCACAAGCATACCCCAAAAATAATTAATTGGAAATTGTCCAGTGGTCCTTAAAACAGGCTATTCCTAATAAATGTTTTTCTGTGATCTGGATCTTATCAGCATTATGTTCCTAAGTCACCTTCATTTCCCATGTTGTAAAATACACCCTTAGTTGTTTGGCTAAGCCAGCCAACAGAATCCCCACAAAATATTGGGTCTTCTAGGGTTTTAATCTCATCATTGGACACATCATTAATTCCTTTCAAACTATTTTTTATTCTTTTGTTTCAATTATTCCACAAAACATTTTAAAAACTATACGCCTAACCAAATTTAAATGGCTACTAAATCTCTGGTTTGCAAAAAGGAATGAATGCTCTCTACCTACCTATATATCTTTTTATCTCAGAGTCCCTACAGTACTCAAACTATGGTTGCTAACATTTTTCTTTGAAGCTCAGTATGGGTTATACCCGAGATTGACACAGATACATGCACACACACACACACACACACACACACACACACATACACACACACACCCCCCATCCTCCCACAAACAAGTCAATTTTATCTACCTTCTTCAAACATTTTCCCCAAACCCAACAGACAACATAAATAGGGCAAAAATCTCTCCTTTATTTGAATAAGAAAAAAAAAAACTTCTACCTAAGCATTTCAACTATTCATTAAATCCTTACAAAACAGGTTATTCTTTATCCTCTTTCAATAAATCCTTCTCTGCCTCTCTTTTTTTTCTGTCTCACTCCCTTTCTGTGTGTTTCTCTGTCTCAGTCTCTTTCTGCAGCATGGAGAAGGAAGATGTATGCCTTGTGAAGTTTAGAAAAAATATATCCAGGCTGCCCATCTTATACACATACACACACATACATATATACATATACATAAATACATACATTTTGCTTAGTATGTTTGTACTCATGAGCCCTTAAGGAAGCATATCTGCATTTTCACTCAAAAAATGGATAATGGATCAATAATCAACCTGTTGGGGAGATTTTCCCCAAAAATGCAGTAAAAGCAGCAACTAGACACGATTTAGGTGTCTTTGTCTGCATCTTGTAAGTTGGAGAAAGCCAAATGATATTTCCAATCCAAAACCTTGATGACCAAATTCAACTTCAAAACAAAGCAAAACAAAACAACCATCAACAAAGGAGTCGTAACACTTGCGTTATCAGTTTTAAAAATCAGGTTGATGTAAAATCCTTCTGGTTCAGGATGTGCTGCAAAAGAGGAGACTTTTGTTTTTTTAACACCAGGTAGAAGAAGACAACTTGCCACTTGAATTTGGATTTCCATTTGAAAAAGAATGAAGACTTTATGCATATTCAATGCATAATTAAAGAGAGGTGCTCCAATATACACACATACATACACACCTCTTTTCCCCAAACTTGTAGAACACAGAGCTATGCTAAGTTTCCCTCCCAGAGTTCTTCTTGGGGAATCAAACATTGCATTTGGAGGCTCTGGGACCAAAGTTTCAATTGGGTGCCACGTTCACATGGGCAGTGCGTTCATACATCCACAGGCGGAGGCATGCAATCCAGAAACCACTAAAGAAGTTAACATACAAATACTCACAGTATGACAGAGAAAAAAAGGTTCTTCCACCAAAGGCATTCCCACTCCACTACCCTCCACCCGCCAAAAAAATTATGCCTTTCCCTTACCTATTACTTTATTTTAGAACTCTGATCAGTTTCTTTATCGGGACCCAGAGTGTTGACCCAGAGGACAGAGGACTTTCAGGACACGCACATGGACTATCGCGCAAGCCATCTTCTCCCTGTCTCTTAGTGGCGACACTGTACGTCTCCTGCAGCTCAGCTCTCCAGCTGCAAACATCTCATTAGACTAATGCATTCAGCACAGGCAGAAAACTCGATTTACCATAGCTACAGCAATGAATTTCCATTACGATGACAGCTTCAACCACATCATGTCCGGAAAACCAGCCAACCACTGGCTTTTAAAGAACACACACATTTTACATGCAGAAAATGAGGCCTGTGTGTAAGATGTTTCCTTCCTCCTAACAGCTAAACTAAGAAAAACGTGCAGGGTAGGTTTTTTGGCAGCCAGAGTAGCAAGGTAAAGCCACTTTTGCTTCTTCAGGAGTCTGTGTAGTTGCAATAGCCAGAATTATGTCCCAATTATCAGAATGGGTGTTCCCAACATTTCGGTTTTAACTACCCCTCCTCTGTTGCCATAGAAACCAGACTGTTACATCGTCTCTTTGTCCCAATCATGCAGCAGTGTGGGCCAACACTGAGCTCATAAAGATATTGGTGATCCGAAGGACCAGTTGTTATACTTCTGACAATGGGAAAAGAAATTAAAAAAGAGGATGGTGTGGATGCTTAGGGTAAGCAGTGGCTTTGCACATGGGAGTGTGTGTGCATAAGTATGTACACTGTAGATGATCATATGAAAGATACAACTACATAGAGCATGGATATCCAGCATGGTAGCTCTGTACCCTTCCTCCAGTGATATCTCTGTGTAAATCCTATTATTGATAATGATTCAATTCAATTCAATAAACATTTATTAAGCTCAAAATTATAATGCACTTTATGGTGACAAAGTGATTTCTCAGATTTTTTTCAGATATGAAAACATCTGGTCCCATAGCATGGTATGGCAGAGTACGGCACCCAAAAAAGGGAGTACGGGAGGAGAAAGCTGAGTTATACATCATTTAGGCTCCATTGCTCCCTCTGTGTCAAATCAATTTATACTTATAAAGGGTCTTTTTCTTCTCTTTTGCTTTCCTTTTGTAAAGTGGGACAAGTTTCTCCATTGCCCACTTCATTCATTTCAATTCACTGGGTATTTCCTCAAGACACAACATCTATTTTTTTTACAAATGTTGTTGACCACCCACAAGAGTACTCCTTGGGGATATTGCTAGAGTATATGGACATGGAACTAAATAGAAATTGGGACTAATTATGCATTTGACATAATTTAATCATTTTCAGTAAGTCAAGAAATAAACATAAGTCCTGAACTTTCTTGAGAATATGTGGAAGGTAATATTAGAAACACATGAGGAATCTGTTGCCCAGTGATAGAGCTTGGGAGTGAGTTAACTTTCTAAAAGGCTTTTGAGTTTTAGTTATTGACCTATAAGTAACTAGGCATGCCCAGTCCCATCCATAAAACAATAATCAACATAAACATGATTATTTTTAAGTACTTTACCCCTGACTTCCTTCAAGTCTCAGTTAAAATCCCACCTTCTGTGAGAAGCTTTTCCTAATCCCCTTAATGTGCCTTTCCCCAAGATCATCCCCAATTTGTCCTCTCTATCTTATTTGTATGTAGCTATTTGCATGCTGTTTCCCACATTAGACTGTGAACTCTTTGAGAGCAGGTGTTCTCTTTTCACCTTTCTTTGTATCCCAAGCACCTAGCATAGTGTTTGGCATATATTTCATGCTTAATAAATGCTTGATGACTTGACTTGACTAGAGGTAAATAGTGGCCTGTGCTTGCATAACTATGGAGGGACAGTTGAGGAAATACTCAACCAGCTATAACTTGGAGAAATTTCTATGAGTAACAACAAAAAAAAAAGACCAATTGAATTACGTACATTTTTAAAAACACGACAGGAAACTGTCCAGAATAAGAAGCAAAGAGGCCAGAAAAATTCTTTGTACCAGACATTTCTGATAAAAGTCCAGCAGCCAAAACCTATTAGGAATTGATGAAAACTTCAAAGAATAAAACCCAGTTTCCAATAAAGGAGTCATCAAAGGATATGAACAAGTATTCTCAAAAGAAGAAACACAAGTTATCAACCACCACATGAGCAAGTATTCAAAATCCTTAATAATCAGAGAAACATAAATTTAAACAAGCAGGATGAACTTGAGATCTTAGCTCAAGTAGGTAAACTTGGGTAATTGAGGAAGGAGGGGAGCAATCATTGCTTCCCTTTCCCCTCCTCCCCCAAGCAAATTGAATTTAATTTAAAATTGGAATAAGAACTATGTTGGAAGATGAGCAATTTGACCTACTCCTCTTTCACTCTTTGTCATTAAGCAGCATCTATATTCCACTTATGCCGTTGTGTTTACTTATGCACCTGGGCTCATGAGCCATTCCAAAGGATAACAAATAAGTTGTCATGGTTCATTAATATCCTGTTTCCTCATTTATAAAAGGAGAGGGTTGGACATGATGATCTCCAAGGTTCCTTTCTGCTTAAAGATTTGTTGATCCTCTGATAAATGCCTTTGCTGGTTGAGAAGAAAATAGGCCTTGAGGGTATCTCATCAGAAAATTCAAATATTTTTATTTTCTTTAGATGGTCAAGACACAAACACTGAAATTTTTTTTAAAATTGTTTCATGGAGTCAATCTGTCCCAAAGGCAGAGAATTTTTTTTAATTCTACCCAGATCTCTGCCGGATTTGGAATGAGATAGGTCTTAAACCATTTGTGTCCTTCCTCATTTTCTTTGCAGATGTGATCTGTTGAGATTTATCACACAGAGTTCATTAGTCTGAGGTAACATTTCAGGATGTTACCAGCAGCAACCAGCATGGATATAGGCAACCCAACAGCAGTCCCTGACTCATGAACAGTGACTTTGCAAGTTGAATTTTTTTTCTTAATATATTTTAGTTTTCAACATCCACTTCTATAAGCTTTTGAGTTTTAAATTTTCTCCCCCTCCCTTTCTTCCTCCCTCTCCAAGACAGTGAGTAATCTGATATAAGCTCTGCATATACATTCCTATTAAACATATTTTCACATTAGTCATGTTGTAAAGAAGAATTAGAACAAATGGGAGGAACCACAAGAAAGAAGAAACAAAACAAAGAAGGAGAGCAAAAAACAAGAGTAAATAGTATGCTTCAAACTGCATACCAACTACATTGTATTCTCTGGATGTGGATAGCATTTTCCATAGACCTTTGGAGATGTCTTAAGTACTTGCATTGCTGAGAAAAGCTAAGTCTATCAGTATTAGTCATCACATAACATGGCTGTTACTGTGTACAAAGTCCTCCTGGTTCTGCTCACTCCACTCAGCATCAGTCCATATAAGTCTTTCCACGTTTTTCTGAAGTCTGCCTGCTCATCATTTCTGACAGCACAGTAGTATTCCATTACATTCACATACCACAACTTGTTCAGCCATTCCGCAATTGATGGGCATCCCCTCAATTTCCAATTCCTTGCCACCACAAAAAGTGCTGCTATAAATATTTTTGTACGTTTCCCTTGACATTCTTAAAAGCATGAGTTGAAACAGTAACCCAAAGAGATAGGGAGATAGCAGGTAGCATCACCAACATTTGGCCAAAGAGGACAGTGAGATAACAATTTGTGAAGCCATTTTGCCAAACAAGTTGAAGGCAAAGCCACAAGTAAGGGCTACCACATCCCTAGGCAGCTAAGTGGTACACCAGATAGAGAAATGAATTTGGAACCAGAAAGACCTGAGTTTAAATATGATTTCCAACACTCACCAGTTTTGTGATCCTGAACAGGTCATTTAACCTCTGTCTGCCTCAGTTTCTTCATCTGTAGAACGGGAATGATAACAGCACCTACCTCCTAAGGTTGTTATAAGGATAAAATGAGGTAACATTTGTAAGCATTACATAGATGCTAGTTATTAGTAGTAGTAGTAATAGTATTATACTAAACACAAGACTTCGCTAGCTCACTATTTCTCTCACCCAAAGCCTACATAGTGTGCTCTGTTTGCAAAACCAGACCTTCATTCAAAGCTAGTCTAGCAGATAGAGAAAGATATGAACAAAGAGACCCAGAAAAGAATATGCCCTCTCCCTTACAAAATTGTCAGTTAATCAATGAGTCACCAAACATTTCTTAAATGCTTATCACTGGATATACAAAGAAAAACAAAAGCACTATGTCTGTGATCAAAGAGCTCACATTCAAATACGGGCTTCGAAATATAAATTATTAGGTATGATAGAAGATAGACACAAAATAGATTGTTGTTGTTGTTCATTCTTTGTTCTCAAAGAGGACCAATGCCATCAGGAAGGTGCTCTTGACTTGCAAATCAATTGGATTTAAATGAGACAGAGACATGCAGAGTCATCAGCCCCGCTTTCTCCTCCAGAATCATCAGAGTCCAGTGCCAAGATGGAAGTCAGGACGACTGGTGATGGCCCAGGGTGCAGTGGGAGACATTGGCCTTTTTAAGCTCAGGTCTTTCCCAGGATACAGAATATATAGCTGGGTAGAGGAGACAAAATCCAGCAGAAGGCAGGATTTGAGCTAAGTCTTAAAGGAAGCTAAGAGGCAGAAGTGAAGGGGGCAGAGTATTACAAGCATGGGGAAAAGCAGGTGCAAAGGCAGAGAGTCCAGAGATGGAGAATAAGGATACAAGAAGCCGGTAAACGGGACCATAGGGTACATGGAGGGGAGTAAAGTATAAGAAGACTAGAAATGTAAAAAGCAGCCAGCTTGTGAACAAATTTAAATCCTAGAAGACTATATTCTATCCTCGGGTAATGGCAAGCCACTGGAGTTTACTAAGTGGGGGAATGCCATGGTCAGACCTATGATTCACAAAAAGCACTTTGGTAGCTTAGTAAAGGATGAATTGGACAAGGGAGAGGCTTGATGCAGGGATAGAAGGCTACTGAAGTCCAGGAGAGAGGGGATGAGGGCCTGCGCTAGGAATGGCAGCTCTCTGGAGAGAAAGACAGACAGACAGACAGAAAAACAGAGAGACAGAGACAGGCAGATGAAAGAGAGAGGTACAAGAGATTTGACAACAGATTGGAGATATGAGATGAGTGAGAGTGAGAAGTCCAGTCTGCCACAACACCAAGGTTGCAAACCTTGATGACAGGGAGGATGGTGATGCC